CATGAAGAAGAAGATTTAGGCATTATTGTGGATAATATATCTTAACTCTAGAGGCTAATCTGCACATAGATTTATTGTATACTATTGTGTTGTATAGGTTATATGAAAATTTTACTAACAAAAAAATGTGTGCCAATTGAGAATACACAATACTTTCCCTTTAAGCCCCTTATGCTGCTTTGCTGCTACTAAAGCCTTATTGTAGACTGGATGATTACACATGAAGATGCAGACTATCTATTCAATAGGTCCTAGCCACATCGCTGATTCTGCAAGTATCAGAGAGCCATTGTCAGTTGCCCTAATTGAATGCAGAGGGGACGGGGAGGTCCATGCAGGCAGATGCTGCCACCACATATCCTAGGGGAGAGCAGTAGATTGGAACAGGTTTTCTAATCCTTCCAATCTGTTCCCTTGGGAGCCTTCAGCCAGCAGGCATCATCCTGCAACCATAGGCCTAAGATCTCCCTAGCCATGAGACAGTCATTATGAACTGTTTAAAGTCTAACTCCATTTTTTTTTTTTTTATAGTGTGAGCAAGGTTATATCTTCCATCATCTTTTTTTACTACAGTCTGTGTTCTCATTGGAAATTTCCCCTCACTTCCTGTCCCTGTGACAATAAAGACAGGAAGGCTCTAGCCTTTTCTTAATCTATCAAAAAAAAAACTGTTCCTTTTGTTGTGTACATGTTTTAGAGATTTCTCCACACTTCCCGTGTGACACTACCAGTGACAATATTGTCCTTATACCACATATACTATATACAGTATATACACCTCCTAACTTTCTGAAATGACAAAGAAAAACACCTTTTAGAACACATACTTGTAGGCAAAGGACATGTCCCCAGTTTCATGGATCACAAAGATCTAATATGCAGAAAATGATTGGTTAAATCACAAAAGTGCTTTTTGACCTCTATTTTTTTCTTTTTATTGGCTTTCCAAAATAACATATGCAGTAAAAAAAAGGTTGGGTAAAAAAATTTAGGTCATACACAACCCTTAGGTAATAAAATAGTAAATTTTGTATAAAGATGCATACATCAGACCAAAATAAGGGACAGGTGAGGCTGCATGAGGGACAGAGGGATTTGGTCTCAAAAGAGGGACAGTCCCTCAAAAAGAGGGACAGATAGGAGTTATGATACATTTATTCTGGATAATTAACTTTACAAGTTGTAAATAAATAAGTATGATACCCATGGAGCAGACTTCTTACAAAGCCTGGCAGGTTTCTGTAATGACATTCTGGCAGGATAGGTGGTTTGACCAGGTTAATGGTTTGTGCTTTGCTAGGGTGATCAGAGACACCCCTGGTTTCTGGGGATCAGTCCCTGCTCTCCGGTTTCACGGTCAAAACCTACAACACATAGTAGCCCCCCACACACACACACACAATGCCTTGATTGTAGCTCTGTCAGTGGGGGTGTCAGTATTATATGTGAGGTGTGTATATTGTCAGTGGGGTATCAGTGTTATATCTGGTGTGTGTATATTATCAGGAGGGTATTTATATTATGTAATCAGGTGTCAGTATTATAGACAGTGGTATTATTTGCATCTTTTAGAATTTCCATCTTCTGAAATGAATGTGGTTTCTGTGGGACAGGTGCATTTGAGTTGTAGAGAAAACTGCCTGGAGCCTGTCTATGTGTTGCTTGAGCCCACCATCAACTGCCCTCTCTGTACTGCCTGAACCCACTATTAACTGCTCCACTGCATGTGTATGTGGGAGGGCACCACCTGGAGCCAGTCTGTGTGTACTGCCAGAGCCCACCATTAACTGCCCCCCTCTGTACTGCCTGAGCCCACTATCAACTACCACACTATTGTTCTCAGCTGCATAAAAAGCTTGGTGAGGTAGAGATGCAGGGGAGCATGTCAGCAAGAGGCAAAGAAAGAGCAATACACTGATCATCTGAGTGAAGTGTCATGCAGAAGGGCGTGTCATCACAAGACTTGGCCATTGGAGGACAGGGCCTCCCAGCACAGCCAGAAAATTGAGCACACTGGAATGGATATGCTCTCATGCTTAGTGTAGTCAGTTTTTAATAGGAAAGCAGAGGTAGAAATACAAGGAGAACAGTATACTTTTTCATACAAGTACATGGTAGAGCAGACATATATCAAAAATATGAAATGTTGGGGTAACATACATTTTAACTCATAGTATGCCTGTACATTTTACAAAGTACCTGTGGTGTGACAGAACCATTGGCACTATTTTGGTGCATGCTGCAAACCAGGGGCGGACTGACCATTTGGAAACTCTGGCACTGCCCGAGGGCCCAGGGTCAGTAGGGGGCCCCATGAGATGCCCCTGGTACCTTTTTCATAGGCTTTTTTGAGTTTGGGCAAGGACACAGGGGCCCCATGATCCCCTATTGCCCGGGGGCCCCATGAGTTGTCAGTCCGCCTCTGCTGCAAACATGCAAGCACCTAATATACGCTAGGGTGAATTAGAATAGAGGACATGATATGGAAATGGAAACCTTTAAAACACCAATGCTGGGTAATATGTGTTTGTATGTTTTTCATGACGGGAATGATTTATCTGAAGGAAATAGAGCATGTGTTGTTGACAATCATTTATATAATTTTTCTTTTCCTGGGCATAGGTCGCCTTCTCTCCCCTCATCCCTGACTGCTGCACACTATGTTGTACGTTACATATTCCTGACCAAAGTGTTTATTGTCTCAACAGATTCTGGATTTAATAAAGTTCTATGGTAGGTTTAGACAAAGGGATTTTTTTATGCAGAAATGCAAATGCAATGGCCAGTCAGAATTGCTGAGCACCTCACCAGGTATTCCCTACCAGGGAATACGAGACACCAGAGCCTCTACATCTTTGCAGGAAGGTCCCCACCAAGTGCCATGGGGAACCAACTACAGAGCTGAACTCCTACCTCCTTGCACTCTCCACTCAAACTCCTCTCACCTTTTAACCAATTCACTATATATATTTTTAAGGGAGGGTGAAACCTAGTATCCAAAGTGGAAAGTACGCTATCACTCCCTTACAGGGGATCCATGATGAAGTCATGTGACGGTGACAGCACACGTAGGGCAACCAAACCCGTAAGTGACAGGTTGTTCATATTGATGTGCCTGTTAGTTTTAAATGTTTATCTTGTTTGCAGAGAGGAGGAAGATATTATCTAAAGCTCTTAAAGGGGCCACACACCTCTTTATCTCTGATGTTCCATATTGCATCATTACGTTTATATAAGGAAAAGTGCCACCAGTAACAAATTCCAGAGTGGAGACTGGATTGATCCCCAGTGGGGAAGGCACATTGTGACCTAATTTCATGCAGGCCCATATATCAGAGATGAGCGCATAAGCACAATGGTGATGTCTGGTTGCACATATGGTGAACTATATGTTGATGTATTTTTATTATATTCCATGCTTGTTTATTTTATTCATGGGTACATTATATATCACTTGGGATTTAATGATAATAGGTGGCATAGCATATATATATATATATATATATATATACATACATACACATACATACATACATACAGTTGTGTTCAAAATAATAGCAGTGTGTTGAAAAAAGTGAATAAACCTCAAAATCCTTCTAATAGCTTTTATTTCCATACACACAAATGCATTGGGAACACTACACATTCTATTCCAAATCAAAACATGAAGAAAAATAGATCAAATTTGTGTTGTTCCTCTAAAAAAAATTGAAGAAAAGTGAATATTAGACTGTTCAAAAAAATAGCAGTGTTTGTATTCTTCTTTACAAACTCAAACATTCACTATATAAAACTGAAAAATGTTTGAAGATTTTGCTTTCCTTTGAATCACTTCATGAATATTTGGTTGTAGTCGCACTGTTTCTGAGAACTGCTGTACATCTGTGTTGCATGGAGTCCCCCAACTTCTGGCACCTGTGAACAGGTATTCCAGCCAAGGATGATTGGACTACATTCCACAGTTCTTCTCTATTTCTTGGTTTTGCCTCAGAAACTGCATTTTTGATGTCACCCCACAAGTTTTCTATTGGATTAAGACCCGGGGATTGGGCTGGCCACTCCATAACGTCAATCTTGTTGGTGTGGAACCAAGATGTTGCACGTTTACTGGTGTGTTTGGGGTCGTTGTCTTGTTGGAACACCCATTTCAAGGGCATTTCCTCTTCAGCATAAGGCAGCATGACCTCTTCAAGTATTCTGATGTATTCAAACTGATCCATGATCCCTGGTATGCGATAAATAGGCCCAACACTGTAGTATGAGAAACATCCCCATATCATGATGCTTGCACCACCATGCTTCACTGTCTTCACAGTGTACTGTGGCTTGAATTCAGTGTTTAGGGGTCGTCAGACAAACTGTCTCCGGCCACTAGACCCAAAAAGAACAATCTTACTTTCATCAGTCCACAAAATGTTGTGCCATTTCTCTTTAGGCCAGTCAATGTGCTCTTTGGAAAATTGTAACCTCTTCAGCACGTCTTTTTTCCAACAGTGGGACTTTGCGGGGGCTTCTTGCAGATAGCTTGGCTTCACATAGGCGTCTTCTAATTGTAACAGTACTCACAGGTAACTTTACACCTTCTTTGATCTTCCTGGAGCTGATTGTTGGCTGAGTCCTTGCCATTTTGTCTATTCTTCTATCCATTCGAATGGTAGTTTTTCGCTTTCTTCCACGTCTTTCAGGTTTTGGTTGCCATTTTAAAGCATTTGCGATCATTTTATCTGAGCAGCCTATCATTTTCTGCACTTCTTTATATGTTTTCCCCTCTCCAATCAACTTTTTAAATCAAGGTACGCTGTTCTGCTGAACAATGTCTGGAACGACCCATTTTCCTCAGAATTTCAGAGAGAAATGCACTGTAATCATCATGTACAACATTTGCTGCCTTCCTTCCTTAAATAAGGGCAATAATTGCCACCTGTTTTTCAAAGAATGAATGACCTCAGTAATAGAACTCCACACTGCTATTATTTTGAACATGCCACTTTCAATTAGTGATTCAATGACACAGAATCAGCAGCATGCATGTCATGACTGTTGGGTCTGTTGGATTTCTATTACTCTACTACACCTGCTAGTAAATTATTTGCCATGTAGAAATATAATTTCTACCAAAAACAGTGATTTATCAGGTTAGTGATGTCTGACTGCTATTATTTTGAACCAGGGGCGGACTGACCATTTGGAAACTCGGGCACTGCCCGAGGTCAGTAGGGGGCCCCATGAGATGTCCCTGGTACCTTTTTCATAGGCTTTTTTGAGTTTGGTCAAGGACACAGGGGCCCCATGATCTCCTATTGCCCGGGGGCCCCATGAGTTGTCAGTCCGCTCCTGTTTTGAACACAACTGTATGTATATATATATATATATATATATATATATATATATATTACTGTACTGTAGGACACAAGTTTATATTCGCAGCCACTGGCCCCTATTTTTATATTTGGTATTTTTATTTTATTTTGACACTTTGATGTTTGCTTAGCTCACTCTTATTTTCACTATTTACAATAACACAGTAATTGATCACATTCCAATATATAAGTGTCATTGGGGAGCGTAAGAGTGTCACTACTTACCTATTTTCCCCATCCTAATGCCCTGATTTTACCTCTCATAATCTACAACTTGTTTAATGTTTTGTGTGTAAATGACCATTTGCTTTCTGTACAAGGATTCTCCTTGATTTAGTAGTGCAAACTAATCTTTTTTTACAGTTAATACAATTTCATTCTGTACATTGTATTAAAGGCATACTGCAATCAAATACATAGAAGGATTTTGTTATTTGGGGGCCTTGCTTGTGGTGCAGTAAAGCTATTCCCGGGATCTGTGGTTGTGGGGAAGAGGCCCTTGTCCCCATGAACATGGGGAGAAGGGCCCAAAGCACCCCTCCCCTCATGTTGGGGGCATGTGCCCTGGTATTGTTCAGGCGCTCTTTCGTCCCCCCCTTAACTGGCCTGCCAGGCCTGTGCTTGGACCAAGGGTCTAGTAGGAGTTTAGGGGGGCCCCAAGCTTCCCCCCCAATTTGTTGGGGAGTGGGGCTCCCTTTAAATGTACTACTAGGCCTAAAGGGCCTGGTATGGCTTTTAGGGGGAACCCCAGCACTTTTTAGAAAATGTTACTGTGGGTTCCATCCTAACCTTCCTAACAGACTTAAAGGATCTGGTAAGGATTGGGGGGGGGGACCCGACGCTGTGTTTTTTTTTTTTTTATTATAATAAAAAATGTCATTCTTGCTGAAGCAGGTTCTATACATTGTACAGATGTGCAACTTTGCAGGTAGTTTAAGGGGAGCCCCCCAGGCATCATATTTAAAGGAATTTTTCTTTTGTTTTTTAGTTTAATCAATGAAAAATGTCCCTTTGAAAACTGTACTTCTGGAATTTTTTTTTCATTGCTTCATGTCCCTCAGGGCAGTACCAAAGTCCCCAATAACTTACATATAAGCCTTCAAAATGGGCACTTTTGAATTTACAAGTTCCAGTTCCATAGACTTACATTATGTTCGAAGTTCGTGGTCAGACTCTTGTTAGCTTCGAATGTGACCGTGAACCGAACAGGGGGGTGTTCAGCTAATCACTACCTCTAATCAGTGTGATGTGACTGCAGCATCTACCACTGTCAGAATACAGTGCCCCGTTAGGGGGATTTCATCATCCACCTAGTTTGTGTGAATGGAGGAATCTGTTTTTTTTTTTTTGTTCTGCCCACTGGCTGAACGATAAAACTAAAAGTGTGGCCATCTTTAGACGAAGCGTAATTGAGTGGACTTCCTGACTTTAGCACTAATGCAGTGTTTGCTGGTTAGGCACTCCTTGTGTGAATTAGCTATTTGAAATGCAGACACATAGTTCTGTCCTAGCCTCTTTAGGTTTTGTTACATAAATGCACATTTGTGCTTTTAGTCAGTTGCACAGCACATGCTGCTTATGGATTCAGAGAATATAATTAGTCTTTTTATCAGTGACTGATGAGAACCTTGTCCTCTGAGCCCATCTCCCACTCCCTGTACAGTGCACAGAGCTCAGGGTCTGCTGGCAGCACTTTACAGTTTTTTTTTCTCTCTGTCGTTTGCTTTGTGTTAAGCTCCCTTTCAGCTGAAATGGCAGAGGCTGGGTGTTCTGTGCTGGCAATAATTGCTGCAGTCTAGACAGTGTCTGGTATGAAGTGCAGGGAATCAAAGAGGCCCCTCTCGTCCTCTCCACTTTTCGTCCTCTGGTTTAAACTTCTCTTTATGACATCTGCTCATTTTTCCTCCATTTTAGTGTAGCCCACCCTAGTATTTTGCCAACACCCCCTCTCTCCCCAGCAGCCACTTCTGTGCTTGCCTCTTCTCCCTAGCTCCAATCCCTTCTGTCAGATCCAGAAGGGATGATGAGTGACATTGTCTATAGAGAAACAGTCTCTGGACTAGAAGCAGGAATTTAAATGGAAGGCTGTCTTGACAGGTTAGGCTTCCCCAGTGCTGTCAAAGGTCACCTCCCTCCCAGGAGTGGAACAGAGACTGGTGCACCTAAACCCTTCCTGTCCATCACCCTTTTCCTCCTGCAATCAATGTGTGCTATACACAGAACCTCATTTATGGCAAGAGCTCCTTTGTCTATGAACATGGCAGCTTTGTGTATGGATCACTTTGTATGTCACCTCCTAGTGTTGATTGTCTTGGAACTCCAATAAGCTCGGCACATTCTTTTGCTAATAAGTCATCATTTTGACCTAAAAAGCTTTATGGCTGGCAGCTGAACTTTTTTTTAAATTGTGCTTAAGGAACAAAAAATGTACACTTTTCTACAAAGCTCTGAGCTGGTAAACTGGCCACAAACACTAGATTACATTCCAGTTTGATGTGGTTGCACAATACCACCCCTGCCTGTCTATGTTTCCAAATCTATACCACCCAAGCAAGCAGGTTTATGCAGTGGAAAAGCATTTCCAGACACCTCCAAAGTCATCCTTCTGGGGCAAACAATAGCAACTAGTATAAAAAAAAAGAAAACAGCTATTTCCCCTGAGAAGAAACATCCCTTAAGAAGGCATGTCATAGGGTGTCTGATGGTATTCATTACCATAGTGTTTGTTATACAGTATTGATATGTTTGGTTAAAGATTTAATTAAGTTTATTGAATATTTATAATGTTAGCTTTCTTTTGGGAAACAGTTAAAGCGCATGTTGAGGCAAAAAACAAACCAAGATGCTGTAAATATCTATAATACATGCTTATTTCCCTGTGTTGTATCCGGTTACAAACCCTGCAAGTACAGAAAAATATCTTCTGAGCTGCCAGAAAAGCACTCAGTGCTGTTGTGGGCTGACAACACACAGCTTTTTTTTGTGGACTGAGTGCTGTCAGGCCTGACAGTGTCCTACTAAACTACATGATTACTACTTTTATATCTCTACAACATAAAGGCTAATTATCCCTTTTCCCAAGGTATTTTCCCACTATTGCCCCACAGTCAAGCACACATGCACTGTCACTCTCTTGCCTCAAGAAACAGTCTAGGGTTGTAGGTTTTGTTGCTTTAATAAGGGATGAACGTGGATGGGGATTGTGGAAAGTAGGATACTCCAGTAATACTTCAGGAATATGCTATAACAAACTTGAGGACACTAAATTTGTTCTTCAAACTCTGAATTTTTGAAACTCCGAACAACTGTCCCTGTGTAGTAGATAGTGGAAAGGCTCTGCAGTACAGGATTGAGAAGGTTGAGTCTTCCTCAGTGAACAGTCCAAACAACAGTATCTTTGCAAGGAATAAAATGACTATGATTTTCCAGACAAACTTCTTAGCAAACACAAGGCTGGCTTTCTAGCACAGAGGAGGGGTGGCAGCACTCAGTCTCAAGGATCCTTCCCCACTTGTACTCTCAGAATGCCTCTGAATAAGTGGTGGCCTCCAACTAGACTAGAACCCCAGACAAGGGCCCCTCAGCTAGCTTTCAGAAACATAAAGTGGCTTCAGGCCTTCCAGCCTCCCAGTCTGGGCCTCCACTCGACAAGTACATGGCAGCAGTGCCCAGGAAGGGTAAAAAGAGTCAGTTCCCCCCAGTGTCAGAATGCCCGCCACAGTCCCGCTATAAGTCGCTGATCGCCGCCAATACTAGTAAGAATAAAAAATCCCAGTATATATACCGCCCTTTGTAAACGCTATAACTTTCACATAAACCAATTAATTTACACGTATCGGGATTTTATTTTAGCAAAGACATGTAGCAGAATACATTTTGGCCTAAATGTATGATGAAATTTGATTTTTTTAAATTTTTTTACTGGACATGTTTAATAGCAAAAAGTCAAAAATATTTTTTTCTCAAAATTGTTGGTCTTTTTTATTTCATAGTGCAAAAAATAAAAAATGCACAGACAATCAAATACCACCGAAAGAAAGCTCTATTTGTGGGGGGAAAAAAGGGACGTACAGCATTGCATGACCGCGCAGTTGTCAGTTAAAGTAACGCAGCGCCATAATGTAAAAAATGGCCTGGTCAGGAGGGCCTCTGGAGGGCAAGTGGTTCAAGAATGGAGTTGAACCTAATCATGTTTAGCTGAAACAATACATTGTACCTGTTAATCTTGTATGCATCTTTGCAAACAGAACTGTATCCAATATTTCATTATGATCCCAGCTAGAAGTCTACTGTTGCATTCCTTTCCATCCTAAAGCTATTCCTTTACGTCCACTGTTTTCTACAAAAATACTCAGCAATGTCCTTTAGGAGTGAAATAAAATACAGGACATTTGTGTTAATAGCAAGCACATGCATAATTCCTCTCCAATGCGTTACACTGTGGGGATCTTCTAAACACAATGGTTATATATACTAGTATTGCAAAGAGAATTAGATGTTAGATGAGGAGGAATGCACTGTTTCATGGAGTATTTTTTAGCCTTTTAAAGAGTTTTTGTGTCACCTTGTATGTTTAGTAAAGGACTCCTCATCCCTTTGTTGTGAGTGAAATAAAAATGCATAAAGCTGCATGTATATAAGGCTAGTAACATGCTCCCATCACCTAAACTAGAAGATTTTGAGCATTGAACCAGTTTTAAAAATCATTCACTCTTCACTAAGATGGAGAGGTGGGACTGAATGGAACAGAACCCTACTCCACCCAACACTGATCCATCTTTTTTAAAGCTCCAAGCACTCCTAACCAGAGAGAGAAATGTTAACACTGGTCATACATCAGTAGATTACT